GGCGGGTAATTTCCGGGAAAAGCTGGACTGAACATGCTCCTGCACATGGTCTTCAAAGTACGCTAATGATAACAATATAGAAGTAATAATAATAATAATGATATTATATTTCATTAAAAGGTTGCTAAAGACTGGCCACCCTCAGTTGTACTCATAGGTCACTGTGAGAGAACTTTTTAAAAAAAGATACCAAAAACTGATAAAGTATGTCAATCAAAAGCTACAATATAATTATTAGTGTCTCTCTATTATCTGTTAATGTACTAGACTGATCCTAAAAGATTCAAGAAGAGGCTACCAAAGATATTGTAAGGTATGAAACCAGAGGAGAGAGTAATGATCATTGGTAGCTCCACTAGACCTTTTGGTTAGTATAAATCATGATACACTAGTAATAATTAATAATTATACAGTGTGTGTAGATGCTGATGTTAAAGGATTATGTGTCATGTATCAAAGAATCATAATGATACCAAGACCTGACTATGGATCAAGAGTCTGTAAGTACATCCATACACTGTACATGTACATGTATTGTACCATAAGGACATCAAAATTTAAAAAATTTAGTCAGAATCAGCTCAAATTTAGAGATAAGGCTTGATTTAAGACCAATAATTTAGCCAAACTCCAGAGTTTACTGTTAATTTAGTAAACATTAGTGTGGGAACAGAACTCTTGTATCATCCTAAACAGTGATAAACATAAGTAAGCCTAGGCAAACAATGATAAACCGTAGTAAACAACGATAAACATAAGTAAACAAAGGTAAACAGTGATAAACATGAGTAGACAGTTGTAAACAATGATAAACAGTGATAAACATAAATAGACAGTGGTAAACAATGATAAACAGTGATAAACATAAGTAGACAGTGGCAAACAATGATAAACAGTGATAAACATAAGTAGACAGTGGCAAACAATGATAAACCGTGATAAACATAAGTAGACAGTGGCAAACAATGATAAACAGTGATAAACATAAATAGACAGTGGCAAACAATGATAAACCATGATAAACATGAGTAGACAGTGGCAAACAATGATAAACCGTGATAAACATAAGTAGACAGTGGCAAACAATGATAAACCATGATAAACATAAGTAGACAGTGGCAAACAATGATAAACCGTGATAAACATAAGTAGACAGTGGCAAACAATGATAAACCGTGATAAACATGAGTAGACAGTGGCAAACAATGATAAACAGTGATAAACATAAGTAGACAGTGGTAAACAATGATAAACCGTGATAAACATAAGTAGACAGTGGCAAACAATGATAAACCGTGATAAACATAAGTAGACAGTGGCAAACAATGATAAACAGTGATAAACATAAATAGACAG